GACTCTTGTTCCGAAACCACAAATTTTCTTTTGTCTTTTGATTTATGTCTGGGTTTAGCGCTCGCTGCCAACCCTATCCACTGTGTTTCTTCTTGATCACAATCAAAAAACCATGCTTGCCACGTTAGGAGACCTAATACCTCCGCTAAGTGAGATCAAGCAGGCTGGTATTGGGTGTGAAGAAAAGAAAATAACGTGTAAGCTTGTGTTCCTGCGTTGCCGATATTTAACCGAAGGCCTACACTGCCACCCCTACTAAGCAATAATCTGGACTCTTAACATTTTGCAATGAACGTCACATAAACATAAAGGCAAATGTGTGGAATGTGAACAAATATCAAAGGAGAAGAACACGGCCAAGATGAAAGATAAACAGGGTGATTAAAATGATTTATTTCACTTGTAAATCATTACAGAACAATGCAGTAAACTGTAAATGGTTTAATTGAGCATAAAGTTTATTATGTAATTGTACAAGGTCTCAGTATGAACCTCCTCCAGCTGTACAGACATCAACGCCATAGTCAAATTCATCCCATACTGGATTGAGCATGTTGGGTGTCGCTGCACTCACGGCTCTTTCAGTGCGATTTCGGAGATCATCCAGTGTTGTGGAACCAACGACGAACGCTCTGAGATGTTGGAGCTTCACTGCCCACGAAAATCACACTGCACAGTTATGACGGATTCACTCTTATTGAAGTGGAGAACGCAGAACGCTTTCTGATCAGGGGTCTCATCTCCTCTCAGACTGAAGGGAGCCATCTTCCACTGACAGTCAGAAACTCTATGACCCCCTCTTTCAATTGGATTGTGATTGGTTCCTAGGTGCCTCACAGTTGTACAAATATGGCACTTTGAAATCAGATTAATCTTTTTGAATTACCCTGTACTATGTTTGGGGATAGAAAAATAACTTACATCAAGGTGTGCTCAGACAGTAAAAGTGCGTGAGCTATAGCTTAAACATTCATAAAAATAAACCTACACAATAAAACCACAGTTTTAGTGTACTCTTATCATTAATTTTGCAGTGAAACTCTAATTACTAGTAACTGCGACTGACACTAACTTCCATCTGAGACTGGCCTTCTTCTCTGAAGCCATCTCGCTCAAGGCCATTTGAAACAGTCCGTTTCGCCTTTTACAAGAACTGAGGCATGATTTTATTTTAGGCATGATGTTTTCCCCAAGACTGGAAACTATAGGCCATTTTTGCACAGGCATGATATCTATGCCAGGAACATACAGGGTGATTCAAAAAGTCAAATTTCAAAGCACCTAGGAACCAATCACATACCAATTGAAAGAGGGGGTCATAGAGTTTCTGACTGTCAGTATGGCAGTGAACCTCCCACAGCTCAGAGGATTCGGCATTGCTACCAACAGTTCCAAGAAAAAGGTCACCAGCATCACCAGATCTCACACCGTGTTGATCTTTTTTGTGGGGGAGCATTAAGGATTCTGTTTATGTGCCACTCCCAACAACACTGGATGATCTCCGCTGAAAGAGCCGTGAGTGCAGCGACACCCGACATGCTCCATCCAGTATGGGATGAATTTGACTATGGTGTTGATGTTGTCTGTACAGCTGGAGGAGGTTTATACTGAGACCTTGTACAATTACACTATAAACTTTATGCTCATTTAAACCATTTACAGTTTACTGCATTGTTCTGTAATGATTTACAAGTGAAATAAATCATTTTGAAATCAGATGAATCTCTCTGAATCACCCTGTATATTAAGGTATTAATGTAGGATAATTGTTCAAATTTGATAATACTAGTTTTGCTTTGATTCGCATGATATAAATCAATGAATAAATGACGTTCTTTTCTTTTTTTGAATCAGCTGTAAATGAGTTTTTACCACCACTGGGCGCTGTTACCACATTTAACTCGGTTAAACACACAGGCCCACTCATAACAGCACTGTCTTCAACTCGATACACAGAAACTCTCTGAACCAGCCTCATAATGTCTTCATCCACAACCATCATCTCACTTTACCATTACACATAAAAAGGAAATCATCACGTTTGTGTTAGCATTTATGGTACCACTCATCCAGCCAAAACCTGAACCAGCCTGGTAACAATCTGACCAAACTCAGCAGTTACTAATAAAACAGCAGATTCTTCATGCTGATAGATTCTTCACAGTCATTGGCTGGGTGCCGCCTCTTTGGTCTCAGCAGAAACTTTGGCCCTCACCACCCCTTTAACAAAAACACTGTGGAAAAAGTAGCTACTCATGAAACCGAATCCATTTACGACTTCCGAATTATCTCTCAGTTCCTCAGAGCATTTGTTTTAAAACAATATCTTTGGTGTTTTATTAAAGAAATAGTGCGGGTTTTAGCAACCATGCTGAGTGATCAATTAAAAAGAATTCAGTAAAGCCACAGAGAAACTGAATAGACATTAAACACAACTAAGTCTTACTGCTGATCTTTTCTGACCTTAAGCCCAAAGTAAAGCACTATTTCTTAAATTAACCTTGTCTCTCTAAGCTCCCCTAACTCAGTGTTCAGCTTCAGCCCGTTTAGGCCAGGGTTTCTTAACCTGTGGGCCGCAAAGCACCCTCTAGTGGTCCGCAGGCCTGTACTCAGGGGAGGCAGTAATAATTAAAAATCTCAGAATTCAACGTTTTCACAGCAGAACCCAAATAAACATTAATAAAGATGTACAAATAAAAACGCCGCTGTCTCTAATTAAACATCATCAGTCTGAGACAGCGCAGCTGCGGGCACACTATGCAGACAGCTAACCAGAGAGGCGCTCATGGCGCTTTGTTTGGTGATGACTTATCGTACCTTTTTCTTTAGTTTACTCCGTTTTGACACATGTGAACACTCCACCCATATTCGGGTCTGCAGCAAACAGCTGAACCGGTCCAGCAGAAACCCGCGGACGATGGCCTGCACCTCCAAACCACATCTACCTTGGACATTTCTATTCTTTTTTCCCCTTTTTGACATCATTACAGCCATGCAGTCTTTAACATGCTCATGTTTTTTAACATACCTGCAAATTTTGCAAACCTACTGACAACCAGAATGGCCGATCCAATCTTTATCAGGACCTAATATTCTGGTTTCTAGTCGGCATTTAAGAAAAGATGTTCCAAACTAACCAGAACCACACTGAGCTTCATATGGAACAAAATAGTAGAACACATATGGCTTTTAGGAAGCAACTGAAAGCCAGATTGTTATCTTAAAAAATATTTTCCCTCCCCTGACAGTTAATAAGATACACACTCTCATCAGGGAGTCATCTGTTTTGATAGCTTGAGTGACCCTGCAGGATGATTGGTGTGGTGTTAAAGTTGGTGTTTCAATCTGCTACCTCTCATCATAACAGGGCTACAAAAACTCGGCATCAATCCACTTCTGCTTAAAATAAGAACTGATTACAAAATTTGGAGGCATTCTGAGCAAAAACAGTTTACAAATTTCATAAAAACTCCCACCAAGTTTAGGTCAAACCTCCTACTCCCAGACCCGAAATCCATTACTATTCTGGGCACACTCCAACAGTAAACACTGATCCTCAGCTTTGCACTGAACATGCATGAACAATTTGTAGGTTTAATTTTAATCTCGCCTCCTAAGCAACACGTGAGCTCAGAACGAGAGCCATTGTCTAATTCATCAGACGTAGAACCTACTCCAACTCTTACTCACAGCGGAGGGAAGGAAGTTGACACGCCCTTAGTGAGCTGGATGAACAGGGCAGAATGACAGCACAATTGCCTCGCCAGAGACGTTAACCACATTGTGTTGGTTAAGAGAGGAAATGCCGGCCAAAGGCAATAGTATTCCATAACACGACGATCAAATCGAGGCTTTTCTTATCACCAATCACTCACACTTCATTTACACATTTTAATAGGGTAACGCTCTGTGACTGTTCTTAGCACAATACCATTGTTTTGCTTCCACAGTAAAGCTGGACAGACTCCTCAGGCTGTTAAATATGAAATAATTCCAGGGCCTTAAACCTTTCCGTGAACCGCACTGTTGAGTAAGTTACATAGTCCGTGCATCAGGTAATTCCTGTCTGTTTGCTGGCTTCTACTTTAGACTGCCTTCTGGCAATAACAGGCCAAAATTATATGTTATGAACAGCATGGCACAAGCTGAACTTGGTGTATTGGGAGCACTGTGATTCTGGCCTTGATTCAGTCCTTTATTAAAAATCACGATCCTCTTTACACAAGATGTTCCCATGTGTTCCCCTGCAGAAAAGAACCGTACCAGACAAAAGGAGTGTTTTTAAACGCACTCGGACGAACACCTTGATCGCTGATTATATAACTGAGGACTGTTTCCATGTTTCCTTGTACTGACTCATAAATTCATCACACTGGATCTCGTCCAGAACTGTACCACCACATGCAACCCACTCACTACACTAAATAGCCAGCATGTTGCTATGTTACCCTTAGACTCTGCGAGAGATTACTAGTATTCAGTTATTATTCGTTTTAGATTTTTTGGATTATTAGTATTTCGTAAGAAAACAGCATAAGAAGATACAAACTTGCCTGGTAAAACGCACAGCTGTATTTAAAGAAATCAGATGTTGACCCCAGTGCAATTTTCAGGTTCCAGGTTTTTCCTCTAGCAGACATTATAAAAGAATAATCTTAGTTTTTGGGGATAAACTGTCCACAGTAGTTTCGAACACATTTAGGTGGAAAATTGCTTTTGAGGTTTTAAATCTTTTCCAATATTGCTTCTGGTTCAGAGTAATTTACGTAACCACAGAGCATTCCTTTCACATAAAATTATATGGAGGAACCCAAAATCAAAACCAGCAGTGTCTGAAGAGAGCACAATGATAAACACCATTACAGATGAACAATGTCCCTCCATTCAACAATTGCAAAGACACAGCATATAAGCATGGCTACAACTGATGAAGGAACACTGCCCTCTGCTGGCTGAACAGAGTACTGAGCAGTCTTAATAGTGGGATGCAAAGCTTAATGTTGAGGATTGTTGAGGATTTATTCATAAAGCAAAACTACCGCCTTGGCACAAAAAATGACATCACACTGATCAGCTTAAATTGTGCATTATTACAATGTGAAATTATATATTTTTTTACATACACACTGGACTCCATGTGACAGCAGTATTCACACCATTACACATGGGTGTATCACTGTAGTTAGCTGATGTGTTTTAAACTAGAGGTAGGTAGAAAGGAATTTCTGCTATTGATGCAACAAACGTCAGCATATCTGGAAGAGTTTATACTTTTACTGAGATTTCTTTAACCTTCACACCTGCAACGATGTTCACATGTCACTCTTCCTCATTTTTGTCGAGATACTTTCACCTTCATTTCATGCTTGGGATCTTCTGACTTCATACTCTTGACTGCTCCCTTAGTTTTAACCATTATTCCGACATCAAACTGCCAAGTCTTTTGCCTGCTTCATAGTCTCTAGTCAGCCTGAAAAAGCTGCATCATCTCATGAGGATATTATTGATTGCTTTTAGTTCATCACTGCTGAGTGGAGACAGGTTGTATCCTCTGAGTTCAGGCTTCCCTGAAACATAGAAAAAAAATGCAGATATTGTATATTGATCTACAATAAGGTAGAGCTACTGATGATAATTAGCACTTTTTGAGTTAGTTGATGTGCAAATCATTTAAACCCTATATTTCACTGACGACAGTACAAAGAGAACATGTCAAATTGTCAAATGCTGATACTGAGTAATTTTATTTTGTTTTTTTGAAAATTATTTGCCTATTTTTAAGGCCAAAAACCAGTATTTGCTGGCCGTGATCTTTGGGCCCTAAGGCAGCACTGCATTAAAAACAGACATGATTCTGTAGTGGAAATCACTGCATGGGCTCAGAAACACTTCTGAAAACCACAAACAGTTCGCCGCTGCATCCACAAATGCAAGTTAAAAACCCTAAAACACAAAGAAGAAACTGTACATAAACAGAATCCAGAAATGCTGCCACCTTCTCTGGGCCCGAGCTCATTTAAAATGGACTGAGGGAAAGTGGAAAAGTGTCACTTATTCATACCACCAATGTCAAAAGTATAAGGGCATGCTGCCAATCTTATAGTTGGACTTATATTGTGCAAAAATATTACCACAGTCACACACATGAGCTAATATAAATCTGAGATCATTAGAGTGCATTAGAGTACCTTGTAAGTCATTAAGATGATTCACTTTTGCCTTCAGGCGTTTTCGGATGTCATTTATTTCTTGGTCAAGCTGCTCTTGATCTGTTGAGGAGAAATTTCAAACACTGAACACAGTTGTTTAACCAGACAGAGCAGGATTGCAAAACATGGTACACCCTACTTACCTTTCTGAATCATGGACTTGGCATTCTCCTTGGGAAATTTAATAAACATGCTTCCAAAGCAGACTTTGACTTTGTCTGTGGACAAACAGGCAAGAAAACATTGACAACTGTGGGAAAGACACCAGAGTGAAGAAGATGAAAACCAATTAACTGTTATTAAAGACAAAATGTGCTGAGTCTACATTTTTTGTAAAATTCTCACTTCACTGGTTCATCATCTACACTACATTTCCAAAAGTTTGTAGACACCTGCTCATCCAACGTTCTTATGAAATCAAGAGTATTAATGCAAAGCCTCCAGTCTTCTGAGAAGGCTTTACGCTCAACATTGGAATATTGCTGTGAGAATTTTTATTGCATTCAGCCGCAAGGGCATTAGTGAGGTCATGTACAGATGTGTCGATATTCATTCTGGATCACAAAGGCCACTCCTAAACCATCCCGAAGGTATTTGATGGCGCTTCATCACTAATGCTGCTTGGCATTGGACATAGTGACCTTAAGCTCAGGCATGGCTGCTCCAGAGAATCCCATTCTACTGGCAAAGCTTTTCTATGGAGATTACACAAGCTATGAATCTACATGGTAGACTTGGTCCAGTCTCACTCTGCCCCCAAGTCTCTGAGGGTCTCAGATCAGTCACTTCAGGCTGTTCCACATTCTCAGTTGAAGCTTAAGGATGACTGTGCTTTTGCAGTTGCTGCTCTGAGGCTGTAGAACAGCCTATGACTAAATATTAGAAATGTCTCGTCTTTTACCGTTTTCAAATAAAGATTTAAAACTAACTTTTTTATACTGCAATTTTGAAATGTTATTAATATTGTTACTTTCATTTTTTGATTATATTATACTTTATTACTATTATTATGTTTCTTTCTGATTAATTATTTTGTTTTCCTGGGTTATTTAGGTAACACTTCATTTGAAGTGGCCTATTGTAAATGATTAATAAACTCTTAACAGAGTATCAGTAACACACCAACAACATATCAGTGAAATAGCAGCAGTGTAGCATCTGAATACACTGAGGTAAATATTATGTAGATGTACTGTTGATACATAAAATCAAGTAGACTTAACATGCTACTTCCATTACCCCCATCCTAACCCTAACCTCAACCCAAAACCTAATCCTAACCCTAACCTCAACCCAAAATCTAATGCTAACCCTCACCCTGGCCCTAATCCTAACCCTAACCTTAACCAAAACCCTAATCCAGTTAAGCTCCAGGTACAGGATGGTGTCAGTGTGTCTTGATGGTCTGTATTAAACTTGTTAATGTTCAGTTCCTCTCAGATTAAACATCTACAGATCTGAACTTGGACTCTCCAAATAAAGTGAAAACAACTGAACTCAGCAGACGTTAAACTAATTTTATTTACAGTTACTTTTAAAGTTTCACTGCTGCTACATCATTGATATGTCGTTGTTATATTACTGAGAGACTGTTGAGTGTTTATTTAATCTAAAAAAGACACTCAAAATGAGGTACTACCGTTATTTCTGATTGTAGTCACCCTTTGTGTTTAGACTTGGATATTTTATATATTTTATATATTTCTCTTTATTTACAGCACATTGCTCAACTGCTGTTGTTTTAAATGTGCTTTATAAATAAAAAATACATTGCAACTGCAATGGAATGGCTGCATCAGTATTATTATCAGCGTGCCTTTAAATTGGTTTAATTGACTAATTAGAAGGGGTGCCTGGAAACTTTTGGACATACAACTCAGACATTTTTGGACATACACAATAGCAATTCACTTACCATTTTGAGAAGCACTGTCTCGAAGAGCATTCATGGCTTCTCGATTTCTGTTCCTTCTTGCGTCAAGATCTACAATCTACATTAAAGAGTTAAGTTAGTTAACGATTCAGATGACTTAACTGACATTCATAAAATCATAAAAACACAATAGCATCTATTATCAGCACTTTTTCCTCAAACACTGAACAGTGATCCAAGACTCTAAATGTGAGGTAGACTGTGTTAATACTATTAATGAAGAACACATTTAACGTCTTATATCTTAAAAAAGTGTTCATTATTTTATGTAATTAATGTTTTTACTGTATAATGGAGTCCAGGGTCCTCTCAGAAACAGCTGATTAGGTTTTTATTAGAAGAAGGGGGTTCAGTATCTGTGTTCGTTCACACTGAGAGGAACCTGAATAGCAGTTTACACACCTTGATGTTAGCTAGTTGTGATAGACCACTTCATTCTCCACACTATACACCGATCAGGCATAACATTATGACCACCTCCTTGTTTCTACGCTCATTGTCCATTTTATCAGCTCCACTTACTATATAGGTGCACTTTGTAGTTCTACAGTTACAGACTGTAGTCCATCTGTTTCTCTGCATACTTCGTTAGCCCCCTTTTACCCTGTTCTTCAGTGGTCAGGACCCCCATGGACCCTCACAGAGCAGGTACTATTTGGGTGGTGGATCATTCTCAGCACTGCAGTAACACTGACGTGGCGGTGTGTTAGTGTGTGTTGTGCTGGTACGAGTGGATCAGACACAGTAGTGCTGCTGGAGTTTTTAAACACCTCAGTGTCACTGCTGGACTGAGAATAGTCCACCAACCAAAAATATCCAGCCAACAGCGTCCTGTGGGCAGCGTCCTGTGACCACTGATGAAGGACTAGAGGATGACCAACACAAACTGTGCAGCAGCAGATGAGCTATCGTCTCTGACTTTACATCTACAAGGTGGACTGACAAGGTAGGAGTGTCTAATAGAGTGGACAGTGAGTGGACAGTGAGTGGACACAGTGTTTAAAAACTCCAGCAGCACTGCTGTGTCTGATCCACTCAGACCAGCACAGCACACACTAACACTCCACCACCACGTCAGTGTTACTGCAGTGCTGAGAATGATCCACCATCCAAATAGTACCTGCTCTGTGAGGGTCCATGGGGGTCCTGACCACTGAAGAACAGGGTAAAAGGGGGCTAACAAAGTATGCAGAGAAACAGATGGACTACAGTCTGTAACTGTAGAACTACAAAGTGCACCTATATAGTAAGTGGAGCTGATAAAATGGACAATGAGCGTAGAAACAAGGAGGTGGTCATAATTCTACGCGGTATCGCTGTCTGGCTAAAAGTGCTAAATGAAAAACATTTCTCTTCGGCACTTTCGAACTCGTTTTTTTTTTAAAAACTATCGATATTTTAGCATTACAGAAGCTTTAAAATACCCCTAAAGGTCCAGTTATTTCTACAGAAGGGTTAAAACGACCAAACCTCTCATAAAATATAAGTTAAAAGTAGAGGTGGGTAAAATCCTGGGGAGGGTTTTTTACTTTTTGGACCTGGATTACCCACCTCTAGTTAAAAGAAACGTAAGAAGTTAGCACGGTTAGCTAACTAAGCTAACGCCGCTAACTGCTCGTAAACAGTAAACAGCGATCGTTCCGTTAACGCAGCAACGGTCATTCCGAATTTAAACAAATATTGAGGTCTCGTGAGTCGCAAACTCCCGCCAATCGCCCGCTGATTAGTTGAAGCCGAGGTTCGACAACCCGGTTCTATAGCAACCAGCCTAGCAACAACAGCCTGGCAACGGGTCCGCTCAGCAAGCCTCCACACGCAACGCTGATGTCCCGTTTTAACGGCTCCGCTGAATCAATACTTTATCTACCTGCTGTTTATCAGCGAGAACGTCTTCAGCCGCCACTTCCACCTCCATCAGGTACTCCAGCACCCTCGAGGAGTCCATCGCGCTAACAGCAGCTTCCCACCCCGCGAATAAAGAAGCAAAAATACGTCCGCCTTTAGGGAAACAAGGACTGTGCGAAAATCAGTTCCGCCCTTCGACGTGACCGGCTCTCGGTCAGAGGAGGTAAAGGTGAGTAAAATTATGCTCCAGTAAAAGTGATGTTACTTCAGTAAAATAATGACTGGGGTAGAAGTAAAAGTACTTGTCCAACACAACTTTCGTAGGGATAAAAAAAGCTAAAAGAACCCCCAAATATTAGTGAAAACACAGTGGTAGGGAGTAACCATTTCTATGTAGTCAGGTAATTTTTTTGTTAGATGTGTACTTTCCTGACTATTTTCAAATGGTAATACGTTTACTTATCGCTGTTTTCGGAGGAAAACCCTGTATCTCCAAAATGGTGACTTTACAGAAGGAAAAAACCCACTCTACTTTTAATGTAAGTCAATGGAACCAGACTTTTTTTCCAAGTATTTTTGGGTCATTTCTTTTAGTCCATTCATCATGAAATTTATGTACAGTATAAAGGACTACATGGATTTTCAAATTATGTCAAAAACTGAAAAAATGGAGATACGAGGTTTTCTTCCGACAACAGCGATATGCTCAGAGTGTATTTGTGTGGAAAGGAGTCTACATTTTACTCAGTTCTATTTTAGTCATTTAGTTACTAATTACTTTTTTCTTCCTTTTTTACCCAGATTATTTTAGAAAATAAACTAAGCCAAAGATTACAAACAATTAAAAGAAAAAAAATTACGACTAGGCCTAATATAAAACGAGTTGAAAATGTTGCTGATACTGTGCTAGATTGGTTACAGCTGTATAACCAGCATTGTGATATTGCTGTTAAAATTGGGCTATTTATCAAACTAATTTACAAAAGATAATGAAGGAAAGAAATGGGACTGTGAAACAAGATGAAAAGTGGTATTTAGTCTAATACTCTGCTTAACCACCAGTGGGCTGCCCAGAAAACGCTGAGCAAAAAGCTAGCAGGCCCAGGACGGCCCGCTATCCGAGTAGGTTTATCATTTTAATTTAGACCAAAATGATGCATCAAAAGTAAATAACTGATCCTAACAATCTCCAGTTCCTGTGCTGATAGATGCTGGATGTCCTAAGACGTTTCACTGCAGTTCTGTAGGGAACTCTTTTTTTGGAAAGGTACTGTTACATCTACTTGTGGGTAATATGGGTTTAGGCTACCAATCCAAAGTAGAAAAATGCTTAACTTGCACTGTTTACAATCATTTTATATGGACGTAGCTCATTTCAGCTCTCTCTTTCAGGAAATTCAGTCATTTGGTTGTGGTGAACAGAATTTTGGGGGTGTTTTAAGATCATTGTTTCCTGCCTCCAGTCCTCTTCAGGCTATACTAGACCTGATTCAGCTCCCCAAGTACTTGATAATTTTCTAATAATGTGACAGAGGTGGTGCTGTGCTGATGGACTACAGAACTGGAGCTGGGAAACAGCGGGATGTATCGTTAATGTGCATTTTCTGAAATTTGTGAAGTCAACCATAACCTTTTGGAAGCTAGAGTTCACTGGTGTGTGTTTGTTGTTTGCTGGTTTCTGGTGTGGAAAGGCCTTTTTAAGCATGGTTGGGTTTAGAGCACATACACGTTTCTCCAAAATTTTGGACCAATCAAATCAAAGCATCTGAGGATCATCTAGAAGTCAAACATCCAAATATCACCATGTTCTCAGGAACATTTCACAAAAAAACTATTCTTCTGAAATTAGTAAGATTTAAAATATCATAGTTTTTGTTTAGTGTAGTTTAGTTTAAATTCTTAGAGCTGTCTAGCAAATCCTGTTAAATCCAGGTGGGCACCCCACTATATAGTACCAGTTAATAGTACCACTATAGGGTATCTTTTCAAATAGTTTGATATCAATACTGATATCACTACCGACACCATGACTTCGATACCAATTCCTGAACGACTGTGTTTTCTGAGACCTTGTTTATTTATTTATTTATTTTTGTTGTTGTCAGGAGAGTGGCGCAGCAGAAGCGTGCTGGGTCCATAACCCAGAGGTCAATTGATCGAACCCATCCTCTGCTAAAAATGTGTCTAATCAGGGGGCAGTCATGGGCTGGAGGTTAGGGAACCAGCCCTGTGACCGGGAAGTCACCGGTTTGATCCCCGGTTGCTTCGGATAGGGCTGCCCACTACTCCGGGCAAGTGCGCTCACTGCCCCCTAGTGTGTGTGTACACTAGTGTGTATGTGGTGTTGCACTGCATGAATGAGTTAAATGCAGAGTTGAAATTTCCCCGTTGTGGGACTTAATCTTAAATTACAACCTGAAAGTAAGTGTGGCTAATTTCATTAGAAATGAGTGTGAGGTGCTGGAAGTGGGTATGTTTACTGATTGCAGTGGATTTTAATTATGGAATTAAATGGAATTAATGGAATTAATTATGGCTTTATAAAAAAACCTCATACAAGTATATGTTACATACAAGAAATATCCTATTTTAAAAAAATCTATCTAAATACTTGTGGGTTATTTTAAGTGACAGTGCTATATCCTACAAAGACCTGCACTTAAGCAACTGATATACATACACATTTTCTCCATGCCAGAAAAAAAAATGTTACATAAAACACATTAATAAAACACAAAAATGTGTCAATTTGTCTTTTTTTACTCAAACAATCATAACTGACAATAATAAACGGCAATACAAATGAAACATTTACATTCATTGTTGTGCTGAAACAGTGTGCTGTGGTGAAGACTAATGAGGTACTGTTATTGCGTGAAAATGCCCAAAAAAGGGCTGACTTACTGGAATGTTGTAAAACCCCTGATATTTAAGTCCCAGAGGCTGAACATGGCAGTCGTGGGCCAATCATTTTACTGAGGAAGTCAAGTTATTAATATTGCCAAAAAAAGCATCTGTTTCTAAGCTGCCTACAACATTTATACCCCACAATCCTCCTAGCAAAAATACATGACCTTCTATAACATAAGTACAGAGAAAACAAATGTCAGAAAATATATAATTTACAGTATTAAAATAAATAAGAATGATAAAGAAGAGGGAAACATGCGTTTACAGTTCACTAAACAAAATAACAGAAATCACAGTGTAAAGAGTGTACAGAAACTATATAGAAAAGCGGGATTTAATTATGGTATGTATGAGAACGTTCATGTTGTGTGACAAACTCGACGCGCTTCTGTTTCCCAGTAGGCCTACTGGGGACTGAGTCCTTGGAACTGTGCAAGTCATCTGACCTGGTAGCACCTGATGACTTTGAGTCCTGCTGTAAACGCTGTGTTGCAGTCCTTCGCTCGGGCCTTGCTCTCCTGTAGCCGTCCTCTCTCACATCCCCACAGGACCGGCTTCTTTCCCCTGGGCCTTTTTTCCTTGAGGCCCCGACGTCCATATAGGGCTGCACAATATGGACAAAATACCGTATTACTGTTAAATGTCTACATATTGTGATCGTACTGACTCTTTCATAATATAAACAGTATATTTCAAACACATTTGTAAACCCTTGACGTGACATGGTTAAAGGAATACTCTGCATTCTTCAAAGTAATTATGTTTTAATTTAATTAAAGTGCCCATATTGTGCAAAACACTGTTCAAGTTTCAACATGTACTGTTCACTCCTCAGTCCATATAGTCTATATATGAAAGCTAAGCTGCAAAAATGGGCCATTTTTAATTAATTGTTTTTGTAATGTCAGAACAACCATATAGTCATATCCAGGCTGTTTTTGGTACCACGCTTTAAGACTTAAGAAAAAAATAAAAAATAAAATCCAAGAAAATGTATAAAGGTGTGATATAGGCCTTTACAATTATTTGCATTTGTTGGATAATGAGATTGCCTTAATTCATCAAAACACCCACAAAAACTTGTGGAATGTCTGAGTTTGGTCAAAACACTCATAGCATACAATAAAAGATTTAGTGTTTGGCTATAACCACAATTTTCCTCACTTTTGTGTTATAAAAGAGTTTGATGTAGTATGTAAACGCTACTAAAGTTTTAAAATGTACTGTTCGCTCCCCAGTCCATATAGTCTAGATAAGAAAACTAAGCTGCAAAAACAGGCCATTTTGAATTAATTGTTTCTGTAATGTCACAATGACCATATACAATCATATGATAAGGTCTGGACACCCCCTGTCAAATGTTTTGGTAATTTTCTAAGTAAAAAATTTGTTAAAACAATACAAGTCTTAAGGCATGATACCAAAAACGGCCTGTTTAATTCTAAAGAGGGTCTGGAAAACGAGGTACGTAAATATGAAGCACCAAATACCCACAAAGTGAGCCTCAGAAAAAAAATAAAATCCAAGAAGAATGTAGGATATAGACCTTTACAATTATTGTCATTTGTTGGATCATAAGAATGCCTTAATTCATCAAAACACCCACAAAAACTCATGTGGAAAGTCCTGTGGAATGCGGAGTTTGGTCAGAACACAGCATACAATAAAAGATTTAGTGTTTGGCTATAAGCTTGTTTGCGTAATATTGCAAAGGTAAATACTGCAATAATACTTAACAAACGACAGTGAAGCCCTACCTCCACGCTCATATTACTGGAGCTGTCTTGAGGGCTGCGTGGGCAACCTGCTGGGTTCCTAATGTTGCCAATGGCCTGCATGCGCTTCAAGTGACTAGTACTGTCCAGTGGGTCACTAAGTCTATGGCTGCGAGGTCCAACCCCACGCTGGAACTGCTGCGCTCGGCTCTCACTGCTGCTCCTCCGGGGCAGCCCCGGAGCCCTCCCCCTCTTTTCTGGAAGCGGACTCAAATGGGAGTGGTGAGGATGAGCGTATAAGCGGCACGCTCCGTTGCAAATCGGATAACTTTTGCGGCAGTTGGGGCAGGTGCAGCTGGGTGGCTGGAGCGGGGGTGCATTAGCCAGGGAAGACAGCAGCGCCAGGGGGAAGGCCCGCTGGCACTGGAGGATGCTTTTCGGAGCACTCAGGTTAGAATGAGGGCTGGTGTGGGGTCTATGGCGGCTGCCCCATGAAGAGGGGACAGCCTTGCTGCTCTCCTCATGGACTGTCTGGATCTGGCGCCATTCCAGTTGCAGAAGTCGCTCGAGGTATCTCTCCAGCTGGCCCACGGGTCGAGGGCGGGGCATGCCCTTGCCCTCCGTATTCAAATACACGGCTAGCTGCCGGAGGTTCCAGGAGTTGAAGGGAGGAGGAAGAAAGTCCGGGTATCCATCGTTGGAGCGGGACCGACGCACAGCCCGTGAAGGCTGGAGGTCATGGGGGTCGATTACTTCTGCACGCAGATGGAGCTGTGGAGGGGCAGTGACAGAAGGAGGTCCCGGGAGCCTCTCCGTGTCAGAAAGGTCACTGCCACTGTCCGTGTCCTCAGCTTTGGGTTGAGGTGGGCAGACTGAAGACTCACGTTGGGGTTCATGCTTTGTTAATTCCTGCCGTGGTGCAGAAACTGAAGTCAGGGAAAGCGGCAGAGAGCTGGGAAGTTTTCCAGAGTCTACGGAGTCTTTTTCAACACTGCGCCGTGTATCTCGCCCGTGGCGCCTTTCCCTTGGTCCGCTTGAGGAGGACACATGCGGCTTTGGCTTGGCAGTGATTTCTTTCGGGTTCCTGAAGAAAATGGGACAATGTTAAAGCAGTAGTTTGGCACAATTTCCCTCTAACCCTAAACACAGAGTGCGTTTACATGCACTTAAGAATCTGATAACTGCAGAAAATCAGATTTTGTCAGTAATCCGATAAACACGTTTACATGCACTTGAGTAATCAGATAATGGGGAAACTCTGGGTCTACATGAGTCAGACAGTAATCAGATTTCTGCTTTGCAACCAGCCAATAAACTCACAGAAGAAGATGTGATGTAAACGTAACCGTTGATTTTTTTAAACATTGCGCCGCTTTACCTCAAAATATGAACATACATCATTTAGAAGATGAAGAATATTTAAATCCTCTATTTTGTGTTTGGTTTCAGCACCTCTCCAAAAGTGTTTTGCTGCGTTTCGCGACATCCACCGTCTGATCTCGCGCATGTGCAGGCTAACAAATCCTACAGAAATCAGATTACGTGTATACATGCACAGAAATCTGATTACGGAGCTAAAATCCAGCCTCTATATCTGATTTCTTAATTGGATTTCTAGATCACAGTATGGTGTTTACATGACCATATGTGCATGTATACACACTCATAGTCCATCAGCTGAGATATGTTTGGGGTCTGAAGTTTGCTTCCAAATAATGGGGGCTTTTAGGCCTGACCCAACAATTAGCATCAAGCAAACTGCCTGCCCACCACATACCGAAGGGTTATCTCAAACAGTAACTACAAAACAACTTGCTAATGTGATTTCTTGCTCTGTAGGACATACTGCTATCTACAAAACGGACAAGAATCAGGCTTCAATATTGCTCTTACAACCATGTTTAGCTATGCGACGTACATTTGACCATTTTTATAGACAGCAGCATGTTATACAGTGCCAGACACCACTAAGTTGGTTTGAGTTAGAGCTGAACGATTTGGATAAAATATCTAATTGCGATTTTTCTGACTACCATTGCGACTGCGATTTAAATTGCAATTATATTCTATAAATTAAGGTTCAGGCCTTTTTTTTTTTTGACAAGACCAGAATATTAACCTTGACCCCTTAATGTAGTGTGTCAGACTGCCAGTAAGTTGTGGTTGTGATGTCACAAAACATGGAGGTTCGGTTCCCTCTGATTGGTCTACCTTATGTAGACAGCTCTCAAATTCTACGTTATTCAGTTAAATTTTCCCTCTTAAAACTAAGGACAGCGTTTTGATGATGTAGGCTATAATTTTAAAAAATTGCAGCTCTTGCGATTTGAAAACTGCACTACCTCAGATTGCGATTTCGATATAAAAACGATTAATCTTTCAGCCCTAGTTTGAGATTACTTCACAACGCAGTGTGGTTTGAGGCAAGCGTGTGATGATTTGGGCATGCACTTGCACAGTGCTGCACTGGGGGCTACCAACTTGCATTGCTTGTTAGCTACATTAGCCTTGTAGCTCCAGTACAAAGGTAAAGATGCAAACTTCAGACACCAAACATGTTTTGGCAGATTAACTACATTTGGGGTAGGGTGACCTTTTTCAAATGCCACCACAATTTTGTTAATTCAGTAAGAATAACAGATTTTGAGCCCTAAATTTCCAGGTTGGGGGGATGTGTCAATAAAACAAGTCATGGTTAATGTTGCATTTCTAATAGATTCAAAAAATAACAGAAGCTGACAGGTTATGATGTAAACTTGTGGACTAATTTTTTAAGCCAACCTGAAATCACAACTGATGCTTTTTACACTTTTAAAACTCTTTAAAAAAGTTATTTTTAACACAAAATGTGTTGAAATATTTCTGTGTGGAGTTACGAATAACATATTGTGTTACTTTTAACACAGAATGAGTTAAATCAGAAAACGATACGACACAAAAAGTGTCAAATCATCTAAGACAAGTGTGTTGTTATTTAACACATCACTTTTTAGAGTGTACCTTGTCAGTTCATGTTACTTTTCATGTCATCTTAAGCTCAATTCATCATATATCAAAGACAAAGCCCTTGTTTTCCCATAGTTTTCCATCTAAATATAAAGATTTCACCACCTTTAAACTCTTTCTTGCTGAGCTGTCACTTTTAAAGCTCTAAAATACACAAATGAAATTGAAACACAAATGAAAACAAAATAAATTCACACAGTTAATTTGTGATCAGTAATAAAGCAAGCTTGGTTAATAGAATTAGAACTCACAGAGCTGTAGCCGTGACCATGATTGAGGCCCTATCGGACCTCGTCCTCCTCCCTCTTAGCTGTAAAAAAGGGAAAAATGAACAACTCTAGACATAAACAGAATATTATATTGATATACAGAATATAGATATTGTGAACATTTAAGAAAACTGTCCATAACTCTATAGCCCTTATAGATGTGACAGTACAATGTGCAATATTAGTGGACAAATAAACAAAATAAACAAAGTGGCAGTGCAGTATGAGTGACTTGGTGTACAATAATGTCCTGCCTTTACTGAGTGACCTCCTTTCAACCACCACCTCAAAACCATCCAGTGAGCAGCCCAAGACAGAGCCAGCCTTCTTGATCAGTGTGTTGAGCCTTTTTGCGCCTCCTCCTCTGATGCTGCCTCCCCAGGAAGACAGCATCCACAACAACAGACTGGTAGAAGATCGCCAACATCTTGGTGCACACATTAAAGGACCTGAGCCTTCAGAAAGTAGAGTCCCCTTCCTGTACACAGCCTCTGTGTTGGCCCTCCAGTCCAGTTTGTTGTCAAGCAGGACACCCAGATACCTGTATATGTCAACGTTCTGACCCATGATGGTAACGGGACTGATCGTGGTCCTCTTCCTCCTGAAGTCCACCACCATCTCCTTGGTCTTGGTCACACTGAGGAGCAGGTGGTTCCTCGTACACCACTCAACAAAGCCTTCCCCAAGGTTCCTATACTCTCCTTCCTGCCCATCCCTGATGCACCCAACCACCACAGAGTCATCAGAACATTTCTGCAGGTGGCAGAAGTCTGACCTGTATAGGAAGTCCATCGTGTACAGGGTGAAGAGGAAGGGGGAGAGCACAGTTCCCTGAGGTGCTCCAATGCTGCTGACCAGATGGTCTAAGAGGCAGGTTCCCAACCGCACATACTGGGGTCTTCCAGACAGGTAGTCCAAGACCCATGCAATCATGGACTTGTGCACCTGCATTTTCTCCATCTGCTCCCCCAGCATGAGAGGCTGGATGATGTTATGAAACAAGCCATAGCAATACTACAGAATTTTCTACAGGAAACTGGCACTGTTGCTACAGCTTGTTATTAGGATACTAGACAGGTAGTGTCCTAGTCATGGAGGTTAGGGAACCTGCCTCGTGACCGGAAGGTCGCTGGTTCGATCCCCTGAGCCGACAGTATGTGACTGAAGTGCCCTTGAGCAAGGCACCTAACCCCCAACTGCTCCCAGGTGCCATGGATAGTGCTGCCCACCACTCTGGGCAATCGTGTTCACTAGTGTGTATGTGGTGTTTCACTGCATGGATGGGTTGAAATTAATAATAATGAAATTAACTAATAAGGGTCACTTAACTAGTGTATTTTACAGCCAGGGGACGTACGCATGCAAATAAATCTCTGCATAGACAACATGCACCTCAACTTCTATATAACTGCACTTACATTCTCGATTGCCATCTGATCTTCCTTTTCTGCACGTGAAGAGTGCACAGCTGTGTTGGTGCTTCTCCGGCTGTTGATGAAATAAAGTTGGTCACTATTTACAGAGATTGCAGTTCAGTGGCGGGTAATGCAGTGATGATGCACAGAAATCCTCTTGTTTACACGTGAATGAGTGATGGGTGAGAGGAGTGGGTGGTTTTATTATATGAATGCAAAGTTAAAGCTCAGCTGCTCCTGCCTGGCTCTTACCTCGATGCATGTCCTGAAGCTTTCGCCTTGGCTGGTTTATGTGCTGTGAGCTGATGGTGGCCGTTCTGCATGGGCCTCTCCTGCAGCACTGTGCCCATCACTGATGCCGTTCACTGCGGGCTTCACCATCGGCTCCAACAGCACGAAGGGTTTCGTGTGTCTCCGCCTCGGCTGTGCAGTTACACCCGCCATTAATCCACATTTTCTATCATCCGCTCCTCTAATCCCTTCCGCAGCTTTACCGTCGACAGGATCCTGTTTGGCCGCGATAAATAATTCATCGGTGACCTGATCGTCTGTCCGTAACGAGACGCTCGAGCCCAATTAGCCAGTCTGTGAGATTTCCTTTTCAGACCGCACCGCAAATCGACGTGCTTTCATTTCCTGCGCCCCCCAAAAAACACAGGGTTTCACACACGCGCCGTAAATCCAGCTGTTGGGGATCAGCGGTGGGCGAGTCGCGAGCGAATCGTTCTGTTTTTGAACGACTCTTTCAGGTGAATCGAGCGAGTCGATTCGCAAGTACGAACGAGTCATACGTTGTATTCATATACACACAAAAAAGCACCATCGTGCTAATCTGCCACCGTTAACTAAGAAACGTAATTCACAAAAAATCTGAAGTCTAAATACACAAAAACAACGATTCCTGCTGAAAAATCGAAACCATTTAGTGTTTTTGTTGGTTTCTGGTTTTGTGTTTTGGCTTTTCTTGATGGGTTGATTCACAGTGGTGACCTGTGACTGACCGCAGACGCTTTTAAAGGTTTTTTAATAGGATCTAGGGAAACTGGTGGTCTCCACTAACGGTAATGTTAGGCTAATTTCCATCAGGAATCAGGATCCATCTGGTATGAATCCTTACAGTCCTAATGTTTTTTTAATCAGTAGAGAGAAATGCTAATTTAACTACATCAACATCTCACAGAGCTCTGATCATGGTTCAGTCTTTATCAGATGTTGTTCTTCTGTTTTTTAGAATATCATTTTATTTTATTTTGTTTTATCGTATCATTTTAGTAATATTTCCGCCATCCAACACTTTGCCTTGATTCGTGCTCCACCCGTAATGAGTTCTTTCACAGAAGCACATAAACTTTACAAAAAACTTCTTCACTAAGGGGAGCATCATAATACAGAAAGTTTGAGTAGTTTATTAATTTTTCAATTTCTTTTGTATAGGTGTGAAAGGTCACTCAGATCAGGTGAAAGTTTTGTTAGCATTGTGGCTAATTCATTGTCGTTTCCAACCTTCCAACCTGCCCGTTTTCAGTGAGCCACTATGCAGTCCAGCAACACGGATCTTCAAACTGGAAAGTCAACGTTGGATAATCTAAACTGATTGTGATTTTCTCCAGTGTTCTGTAATGTTTGTCCAACATCGCGACAGCTAACATACAATAAAAGAACACATTCGTAGCTGGGGGCCGTGGATCACTTTTAGCAGGCGGACACACAAGTTGCCATATGAATTTTTTTTAAAAGTAACTTTGTTGATATTTGCGGAGCCCAAAGGTGACACAGTGATTATTTTGGTGTGACCACAAAGTTTGTGGCCTCAGTAATTCAGTAAATTAATTTCTGGCCTCAGTATAGTAATTCATGGCCTCAGTATATTAATTTTTGGCCTATATGTAGTAATTTATGGCCTCGATATATTAATTTGTGTCCTCAATAATTCATGACCTCAATATATCAATTAGTGGCCTTATTTTACTAATTTGTGGCCTCAATATAGTCATTTGTGGCATCAATATATTAATCTATGGACTCAATATAGTGACTTTTGGCCTCAATACAGTAATTTGTGGCCTCAATATAATTTGTGTCCTCCATATAGTAGCTCATGGCCACAATATGCTAATTTGTGGCCTCAATATCATAATTTGTGGCCTCAATACATTAATTTATGGCCTCAATATAGTAATTTATGGTTCAATACAGTAATTTGTGGCCTCAATATATAATTATTTGTGGCCTCAATATAGTTATTTGTCTCTCAATAATTTGTGGCCTCAATATATCAATTAGTGACCTCATTATACTAATTTGTGGCCTCAATATATTAATTTATGGTCTCAATATAGTGATTTATGGCTTCAATACAATAATTTGTTGCCTCGATATATAATGATTTGTGGCTCTTATATAGCAATTTGTGTCCTCAGAATAGTAACTCATGGCCTCAATATATCAATTTGTGGTCAAACCTTATTAAAATGTTCACCATTTCACCTTAGTTGCTCCATAGATATTAGAGAATTGTAAAGGGCTACTAAAGGTTACAGATTTTTCAACTTCAAATGATTCAGTGTTTCTAATTTCGTCCACAAACCTTAAAGTTGGAACATAAAAGTGAAATTTAAATGTGGTCTTAGATTGGCTCACATTATCACACAGCTTTAACATTTTTAGTAGTTCACACAATGAGAATCAAAAAGATTCGATTCACTGAAACGACTGAGTCGAATCACTAAAGTGATTCTCAATGCGAGGGATTATCCCGCATGGCCACGTGGGAAATGTAGTCGTGTAAATCTGCTCAGTGCAGTTTGTTACATCACCTGTTTCAGCTTTTATTTCGACTAATCATGGCAGTGCGTGGACAGTTTAGCCCACAGTCCTGCGAAAGTTCAGTGTATTATTTTTAGAGACAGCTGCAGCTGCGCATGTGCATGTCAGCGGCCCGGTGCTCTAATAATAATCGCTATCGTTGTACATCCGAACTGCACCTCCCAGCGGGAAACAACGCTAAATGTCAGAGGTGCTTATGTGCTCATACCCAAGACTGCTACCGTTGAACGAGTGGAACCTGTATCAGTGTAGAGGCTTAGAGTAAATGCAGTAAATCTGAGACGTTGGTGGGCGAAGGGTGGGCAAAGTTGTCCATAGAGTTGGCAAATGAAGTGGCACGACGTGAGAATCTGCACATCGTCCAGATAGGTGTGTCCACTTTCTCAGCTGGAGTCAGTATGAACCTTTGCCTTCATTAGGTAAGTTTTGCAAAATGTCTGTGAGAAGAGACCAGTTGTACTCTGACATAGACTGCATGTATATTCAGTTTGACTTCTTAACAGGAGTTTGCATGAAGTTACTACTATGATTATCCAGATATACTGTCTGTTTGGTCTGATATTAACTACCAGACATTTACAGCGTATGATATTTCAGTCCTTCTGTTAATGTGCAACTTGGGAAAACCCTGAAAAAGCTTGTTTTGGATTCATTGTTTTGTGATAGCCAATGCATTTACACCGATCAGGCATAACGTTATGACCACCTGCTTGTTTCTACGCTCATTGTTCATTTTATCAGCTCCACTTACTATATAGGTGCACTTTGTAGTTCTACAGTTACAGACTGTAGTCCATCTGTTTCTCTGCATACTTTGTTAGCCCCCTTTTACCCTGTTCTTCAGTGGTCAGGACCCCCATGGACCCTCACAGTGCAGGTACTATTTGGGTGGTGAATCATTCTCAGCACTGCAGTAACACTGACGTGGTGGTAGTGTGTTCAAACACAGCAGTGCTGCTGGAGTTTTTAAACACCTCAGTGTCACTGCTGGGCTGAGAATAGTCCACCAACCAAAAATAGCCAGTCAACAGCATCCTGTGAGCAGCGTCCTGTGACCAGCGTCCTGTGACCAGCGTCCTGTGACCACTGATGAAGGACTAGAGGATGAACAACACAAACTGTGCAGCAGCAGATGAGCTATCGTCTCTGACTTTACATCTACAAGGTGGACTGACAAGGTAGGAGTGTCTAATAGAGTGGACAGTGAGTGGACACAGTGTTTAAAAACTCCAGCAGCACTGCTGTGTCTGATCCACTCAGACCAGCACAACACACACTAACACACCACCACCATGTCAGTGTTACTGCAGTGCTGAGAATGATCCACCACCCAAATAGTACCTGCTCTATGAGGGTCCATGGGGGTCCTGACCACTAAAGAACAGGGTAAAAGGGGGCTAACAAAGTATCAGAGAAACAGATGGACTACAGTCTGTAACTGTAGAACTACAGAGTGCGCCTATATAGTAAGTGGAGCTGATAAAATGGACAATGAGCGTAGAAACAAGGAGGTGGTCATAATGTTATGCCTGATCGTTGTATGTACATCTGCCTAATCAGCCTAAAGCGGTTTGGCTCCACACACTCACCTTGAAGTTATAAGGAGTGTTTCAGCTTGGAGTGCTTTTTTTGAATGAGTCACAATACAGGACAGCCAATCAGAACGGAGGTCGTTTGCATACACCCATCTTGACAAAAACAGCCTGTTCAGTTTTAAGGGACAGAGGTTGGAAAATGGTGATGTAAAAATGACTTATGACCATTTTTGGTACATAAACCCACACAAATGACATAATTGGACCAATTTAAGAAAAACAAGTAGGGCCTTTTAAACACCTAGTTATCCCAAGGTGAGGTTCTCCTATCATCAAATTTGAGTACATGTATGTTAACCCCTTAACATGGTATGTTGAGACTTCCAACCCTCTCTAATAACTTTATAATGATTCAGTCATTGGCATTGTTACTGAATGATAAGCCATCCCAGAGGAAAGAAATATTGTAAATGAATCTCCTCTTGATCTCAGGTTCTTCTCCTAGATACGGTTCAGTCCAGTTTGAGATTAGAGTGAGACTGAAGCCATTTTTCCCCTGTTTCTGAAATTCGGCTCCTGAGAAATAAAACTCATATTTTCTCACTTTGATCAAAATATTGTCACACGTGTGGCTTAACTCTTTAGTATCTGACTCGTCTCAGCCCAGCCTCAGCTGAGTAATATCTCCATAAGAAAAGTGTGAGATTTCGTTTTCTTATAGAGCTCTAGTGCAGAAGGAGAACTCACGATTTTCTCCTTCATCCCCAGAACTTCCCACAGTAAAACGCTGACGTTAATCTCCTCTTTTCCCCTAATAGGGGTTTGGGAGAAACAATTCAGAAATCAGTGATCCTTCATCAATATAATATTGAGATCTGCTTTATTTCTCTGAGACAATCCTGAGACAGAATTTTTTCCCTCTGGGTTTGGATGTGGACGTCCATGGAAGTTTCAGTGGTTCAAAAAAACGTTTGGTTTAAAGACCCTAACTGAGTCCTTTTTGTCTCCCAAAGCTGTGGCAAAAAATGTCAGCGTCCATCAATCCACCATCTCCTGGACAGCTGGAGTCAGATATGCAGTCTTTAAATGGGCTCGCTGAAGTGTCACGACCTGTCAGGACCATCCGCCTCCGACACATCTTCGACCCCCAGCCTGTTCCTCCGAGGAAGCCAGTGGCGATACGGCCCCCCAGCAATCTGCCACCTCCGAAAGAGTGGGTAACCAGCCAAAGTTTGAACTGTGAGCCAGAGCCCAAGGCCATCGTGCGGAAGAGATCCAAGTCCTTCTCCTCTTCCTCCGACCGGAGGACCCGCAGGGGCTCGCAGGTCCGCTTTGTAGACTCTTTGGGCCTGGAGCTTGTGCATGTGAAGTTCTTTAAAGCTAGCGAAGACCCCACTGTGCCCCTGCACGTCATCAGCAGGTTGCTGGCTAGCTCCGAGCTCGCCTATGGGAAGAACTTGGAGCTTTCTTTGCCCTACTTTCAGCCATTTTTTCCAGAGGACATGGCCACCCAGCCTGATTTCCTCCAGCGCCTGAGCCGTCAGCGTGTTTGTCTGGAGCAGGTCCAGTGCTCTGAGTTGGGCATCATTGGTACAGCGCAAGTCTTAAACCTGGCCTTTGAGAAAGACGTCACAGTGCGCTATTCTTTCACAGACTGGAACAGCAGCGCCGACTGCAAAGCATGTTGGGTTTTTACCATGCACAGAAACGGAGCTGAGCCAGAATCCGACGTTTTCCGCTTCCGCCTGCCCGTGCCACCGTTTATCCTGAAACCTGGAGCAACGCTGCAGTTCGCAATCCGCTTCCAGGCACTCGGAGTGGAATACTGGGACAACAACGGTGGACACAATTACAAACTGACCTGCCATACGTACAAGCTGACTGTCCCCAAAGAATGTGAGGACAGCATGGTGCACTTCACATAAGCCACCACAAGGAGGTGCCATGAGATCTGCGCATCCCGGTTCAAAAGGAAAGCATTTTCTTCCATCTCTTATAAGAAGCACCCTAGTGCTCAGTTTTCATGTTTGTCCTTGAGCACATGAACAAACGCCAGTAAAGTGCATATATTGCCAATTTTTATTGGTAAAAATATTTGTAAATGTTTCTGTGAATTTAGAAATGAGAATTTTACTCAACAAAATGCTTTTTGTATGTTCATAATCTGGTAATAAACATAGTTATGATAATAATTAGGGGCGCACAAGCATCTAATTGGTATGGGCAGGTAATTATCAGTATCAGACAGTATCAGACAGATTTGACCAACATTTCAGACTGACATTTTGATGATACCTTGATTGTATTCTGGAATAGGCAAGGCTTGGCTGTTGTGCCAAAATGTATGCATTTAATTAATTTCACTTCATTTCTAATCTCTACAAACACGTTACATTCTTCTGTTACACCGATCCAGGTGGATTAGGCATAGGCAGATATGTACATGAAAAATACTGGTTTTCAAAATTGGCTCAAAATTCCTATCGGTGCATCCTAGTAACAGCTAAATATATTGTATACATTTTTTTTAAGATTTACTGTGTCCACTGTTCGCCTGTATTACAGCTCCCATTCTTTTCAGGAGGCTTGCTATCAGTTTTTCAAATAAACCTTCAGGGATATTCTTCCACACTTCCAGAGTTCAGTCTTAGAAGTTGGTTTAGCATTTTCTGCTCCTCATGAACCAAATAATCCCGAACACATTCAGTGATGTGGAGGTCTGGACTCTGAGGTGACCAGTGCATTGTTCTGAGAACACCAGCAGCTTCGTTGTTTGATTTGCAAATTTCCTTTTCTCAGTGAGGCTTCTGGCAGCTACACGTCCGTCAGACCCATAGCGCTGAGTCGTCTTCTCACAGTGGAAAGACAGACAGAGGCGCCTGTAGTCTTTTTCAAATCTGAGGGAGTGGAGCTTGATTTTCTCTGCTCTCTCAAAGATGAGAGAGCAGAGAAAAAGTCTGGTTCCATTGACTTACAATACTTTCCTTCTCCTGTAAAGTTATCATTTTGGAGAAGGTTCAGGTTTATATATATGTGCTGCTGGAGTTTTTAAACACCTCAGTGTCACTGCCGGACTGAGAATAGTCCACCAACCAAAAACAGATGAAATCTTGAAATACTGTTTATTGATGGTGACCATTTTGGTGTCTACCGGGTCTCTTATGGTTGTTAGGGGGCCTCTTGTTTATATGCAAGAGGATTTTTTTACATCAGATCTCCTCAGAAATATCTCCTGAAAAATCAATATCGTAAAAACAACAAACGATTTGACTGGATATTAACTAAACGAAGAGTGGTCTCTGACTTTTACACAGTTCTTAATGTATTTGTATAGTTTTTCACGTTCTTCTTACATTAAAGAGAACTCTACACGCTACAAGCATTCGTCTTATCCCAGCTCTCTAAAAGTGCGCTGATGGAATTTGTTCACTTGTCACTCGTCTGCCTGTTGACCCAGTTTTACGACTGACTGTCTGGAGCGCTCTGCTGTCTACTCACCCTGAGTTATACACACAGGACTGCGATAGAGGATCATACAACGGAATTAAATAGACTAGCATTTTAAAGCCAAGTGTCTTTGGATGGTGCAGAAACCAGATGTAGTTTGCAGATGTAGAAAACATTCACAAAAATCACAATATTAAACGGATATTGTTTTTAATGTGGGCCTGCATGCAGTCGTTTGGAAGAACAATAACAGTCACGTGTGAATACTCATTATTTTAGTTGCGAAGAGGTATTTATGTGCTTTTTCAGTTTTTACATAATTTGAAAATGCCTGTTGGCCTTTACATTGTGTGTAAATTACATGAAGAATGGACCAAAAGAAACGGCCCAAAACTACTTGGAAAAAAGTCTGGTTCCATTGACTTACATTAAAAGTAAAGTATGTTTTTTCCTTCTCCTGTAAAGTTACCATTTTGGAGATTTTCTTCCGACAACAGCAAAATATAGTTTTCCATTCTTTGGCACCTTTAAATTATTGAAATTTGTTTCTAAGACAAGGTTAATTGTGGAAAATAGTAAAAATGAAGATAAAAATAAACAGTGTAAATGTAACCTTAAAGGTACAACAGTGGTATTCAATTTTTTCCTTCTCCTGTTATCATTTTGGAAAAGGTTGAGGTTATATATACATATACATATATACAATATATATATATATATATTCTTTTAATTAGTGAAGTTAATCACCCTTTGGTGACACGGGTGCTCAAATGCACACTCAGCATAATTTGTATAATTTGCATTGAAAAGCAATGACCAATAGAATCGGACCCTCTGGAGCAACTGCACATGAGCCTAAGGGGCAGTATTTGGGCTGTGGAGCAGCGGAACTGTGTTTTCCAGAGTAATGGAGCTCCATCCAGTACATTTGGGGTGAGTTGGAGTGGAGTTTGTGATCCAGAACCAATCATCCCACATCAGTACCTGACCTCACTAATGCTCTTGTGGCTGAATGCAATGAAATCCCTACAGCAATGTTCCAACATCTAGTGTAAAGCCTTCCTAGATGAGTAGAGGCTGTACTGCAGCAAAGGGGGACAAACTCCTTAATAATCTCATTGATTTCTGAAGAAACGTGACATGAGTAGGTGTCTATGGACTTTTGGACATATATCCGATATAAACTCCAGCTCCTTCAGATAATCTCGACCTTTCGCCTACAGAAGGCTCACTCTTTTGGCAGCCAGTGGCATCTGAGGCGGGCGTCCTTCCATGCTTGACCCTGACGCAAGGGCATATGATACACGACCTGAGGTATTCTGCGGCTCTGTGTTACGAAAACAAGCTTAGCTGTCAGCTTTGACCAAAGCCAGAGGGAGTCACATCGGGGCCAGCTGTGCAAACTGGAGCAGTAATGATATTTGGGTGAATAAAACCTAGCTTGCATTACTTAGTCTACTTAATGATTCATAAATCTGCGGATTATTGTGCATTACTGTAATATGCGGTAATTGCCACTAATGTAGCACAAATGCCGGCCTCTCTGCTTTGCCCTCAGATTACCAACCTGGATGGCACCCAGGCTGCCTTTCGCTTTCAGACAACCCATTATATAAACACTTTTGTGAACTTTTTAAACTGTTTTTCTACGAATTCATGATGGATTACTTGTCTGGTGCGGCCACAGTAAAGTACCAGTCAAATGTTTGGACACATCTAATCATATTTAAGTTTGTCATAATTTTAAAGGGACACTCTGAAAGGCCAAAATGAAAAATGTATCCACCTTAACTCTGTTTTAAACATGCCTACTCTTCGGTCATGCCCCTCTGGTCTCAAGAATGAGATCTTCCGGTTTAAAGACTAGCAAAACCTCCTTCTGATGAGGTATCTTCACTGTAAAACCTGATGAGTTGAGTGAACTTAAGGAAACCGATCTAATTTAAGTAACTCAAATCATTTGACCATGAGTAATTCACTGAACTGAGTATGAACAACACAATTGTTTATTGCTGTATACGCTTAAGTATATTGAGTAGATCACTCCTTTGGTCTTAAATGATTGAGTATTTTGGACTTCTAATAATGGTACTAACTCAATACAGTTAAGTAATTATAACTTATATTTGCTGCTTTTACACTCTACTCTACAACTCTAGCCACTCAAGTTTAGCTAACTCAGTTTCTTCCATTAAAAGCTAAACTAGGCTTTAATTTTAACAAATTTATACTGAATGGTAGAACATTTTTACAAGAATGCCTTAAACAGTTTTACTTAATATTGCTCTGGACCATCTCGCCCAATAGTGACAGTTCAGCCCAGAATGCAGAAGTGGTCTGAAGTGTCCTGAACCCCACTCAGCAGGTGGAGTCATGGCAGCTCAGCTTACTCTGCACCAAGTTACAGGCAGTACTGACTGAGATTAGATGAGTTCCCAAATTTAGAAAATAAATAAGCGCCCAAGAGAAGGGAGGCTGGGGAAAATGACAACACAGAGATGGTAGGTTAAAGAAGGTGGAATAACACCCAATATGCAAATACATGCCGCCAAGAGCCAAAAGGAATAATGCAAGTTTTACTCAAGGTTGCATTGACTGAGCTTTCATCAAGTAAAGCTGAGAAGTCTTAACAAACTAAACTAAACTGCAAGACATTGATTCAACTCCAAGATCCCATTTGAATGTCCAAAGTGGTCAAAAGTTACATGAAAAGCATGAGAAGTCCAAATCATTTGAATGTAAACCCAACGCTGTCTGTACCCACCTGTAACGTCAACTTAAATAAAAATAGTGAACATAAAACACTTGAATAAAGTTATCTTAACTCAAAATATGCTAACAAATGATTTCACTCAAAATGACTGAGTTACTATCTCAACAATTCATTTATGAGTTGGTTTGGATTTGTCAGATTAAGTTACTCCAACTTTCTGTGGTATTTAAGTTGTGTTAACTCAGGCAAAATACTCTTCAGTCTGTAGGACAACTAAGGATTATATAAGGAATAGTATGCGTTACTAGATTTGCATTAGTAAGTGTAACAGATGAGTAAAGTAAACCCCAAAATGAGTGTAATTGTTACCTTTTACAGTGTTGAAGTTTTGAGGAACTTCTGAAAAATTTTAACTTATTTGGATTTTTTCCCATGCTAGTTGGCTTCTGCTAAGCCGAATAGTCCATCTGTATACAGCCTCTACGTTAGTGGATTTCCGTATCGCTGTGGGGGGGATACGGCTGCATGACGTGTTTGTGAAATGCATGCAGAGTATTGTAGTGAGAAAACAGTGATGGATAAAAACACAAAAAGGACAGAAAATCATGAATTCTGTCAAACTGATGATGCTGAGGGATGCAATGCTGCGCTACAGACCACATAACACAAAAAGTAACATTAAATTAAATGAGTTTTAGGCTGGAATGCACCTTTAAAAGCATTTAGTTCTAAAAGCCTGTGTGTAAAGGTGTTATAAAATGCATTTATTCAGTACTTTAAATGATTCTCTGATGTCTACATAGAAGGTATGTGCCTTTGGTTGGGGTGAAAAATGCACAGATGCGGTTTTACACAACATTTACAATGCTGTGGTTTGGCCTAGAATGAAACAAGCTATT